CCCTGGGGGGGGGGGGGGTTGAACTTCAGCCTCGGGTTCGCGCCTCCATTAAAGACAGCAAGCCAAGTTCGTTTACCATTAACCATCAAGAACAGATGGGCAGGCGAACTCGTGAATCATAGTTTTACGTTCGCTCGCTAAATACAATGTTTCCCGGTGAACACAAAAGGTTTGTGAGCGAACACAAAATCATTAAAATATTTTTTTCATGATCATCTCATATTTTAGCTATCGTCCATTTACTATTGAGCCCCCAAAACTTTTGCGTTCTCTCGTGAAATCACATTATATAGTTCACAAAGTATAGTTTTTCTCCCACATCATTCCAACTGTTTTCGGAGTAAATGCAAAGTTTCTCAGGGGAACGCAAAGTTTCACGGGGAAACGCAGCATTTTTGTGAGATAGCGCAAAATCATAGAAATTTTCGTCCCATTTAATTTTATTTACCATCACCTTTCTCGGGGGAATGCAATACTTTTGTGAGAGAAAGCGAAAACGCATTAAAATACATTTTTTCCTTACATCTACTTGTTTTTTTCATCACCATGTCTCCTTGGGGGCTCCATACTTTTATATGCTAGCATGAAGGCAAACATCCTGTGAAAATAAGCTTCAGATTAGCAGTTCTGCTTAGTTCATTAACTGTGAATATTACAGCAGCTCATCGGCAAAAAGAAACAAATGCAAATAAAAGATAAAAGATTTAATAGACTAAAATACATTTGAATTCATAGCAGTTCTTATGTCTACTGAAATTATAACAGAATAGCCAAGGATAAGAATATTAAAAAGAGTATTCAATGTACAATATAAAACATAGTGCATTCATTCAGGCATTGTATGAACACTACAGTTTCCATTATCTATGACATTAGTCCGAAAGCTTTTATTCTGCTTTTATAACAGTGTCACTGAGAGGATTGCTCCATCAGTCCCAAGTAATGCCAAGCATCTGACAGCTGAGCTCCCAGAGTTTCTGAGCCATTTCATCATCTAAAGCTTCGCTTGAACACTGTGCTGGAGCACAGTCGCTGGAAACAAAGCAGATTCTCAGGCTTATGGATGGCACTGTCTTAATGAGCATTAATATGACTAGAATCATTTCTATATTGCATGTTTAACACATTTTATAATCTTAAAAAAGTTAAATGGTGGACATCTTGTGTGCATATCGGGAGAGTAAACTGGACTAAGAATTCTATTAAAATAATTGTTCTGTACCTGTAATATCCTCCACTCTCATTGTCCAGCTTGGGCTCCACAGCGCAGTAGATGGTGGTCTGGGCCCCCTGAATAGTGGTCTTGGTGAAAGGGCTGAAGACCTTGAATGCTATCTGCACAGGCTTGCTGAGGTTCCTAAACAGCTCTGACTGCACCACACCAGGATGGAGGGAGTACACAGTCACACCACTGCCTACAAACACAACCATCACCATATTTTTCTGTCAGAGCTTGCAGATGACACACAAGCGAACAAATGATTAAAACAGTTATAATAAGTATTTTCTTCTTTTGTACTGCCATGATTAGTAACAGAATTGTTTTAATAGAAATAAGTCTGTTCATTTAAATTCGAACTTTCATTAGTTTACATTGGAATTTCCCTTGTAAAAAGTGTTGTAGTGGTACAATGGTAAGTGATGCTGACAAATATTATAATAATTAATGTACCATGGTTTTAACATGCTAAACTACATTAAATAATAGATGTTCAAAAACATGATATTGCCACGGTGTATAATCTAGAAAGACACGGTACCTTTTCAAAGAAAAAATAATGGCCATATTAATGGTATTTTTAGAATTTTTTTTTTTGTATAACAAGCTGTTTTTGCTTCACTAAATAGAAACAACAGATTCATTTATTTAGGAATCAAACTACAGAGTGCATGTGTTTTTTAGTATCATATTTGATATAATCAGGCTTTTATGACTCATATTGTATGATATAGGAGAATATGGAACTCATAATCTGGGAGGAAAAAACATCTTAAATGTTATTCAGAGGCCCAAACTGAGCAATATGCAAATCAAATGTAAATCATGTATGTAAATCAGTAAGCTCTTTATAACAGAATAGCAAACTAGTTACATAAAATGCACATAAATATCAGTTGTAGCAGCAAAACATATTAATGCAATGCAATATAATGATAATTGAGAAATAGATGTTCCTTATCAGCCTGATGTGTCAAATTCGATATTTTTAAAAAAAGAAAAAAATATATATGTATGTGCAAGTAAACCTAAGTAGCTTCACTTGTTTTAAGTTTTTTTTTTTTTTGTATCATATTTGATGCATCAGGTTTTTATGACTCATATTGTATGATACAGGAGAAAATGGAGCTCATACTCTGGGAGAAAAAGTACAAACTATCAATCAGATGGCAGAAGGCATGTAGCAGATTCAAACAGATTCAAACAGTATTATTTTGTTATATTCTTTACTATGATGCTATTAGAGAATTACGTTTTTTACTAGAATTACTGGTGTAGATATGAATTTCATGCGCAATGTCTGCGGTGTGACCCCTCTGTGGCCCTTCTGAACAGATCACAGTGTCATCTGTTATTTGATTTTGAGTTTGAATTGTCACATGAATGACAACCAGTGACAAGCACAGAAAACAGGACATTCTCCACATGCTTAGGACAGTCCTGCATCCTAAAGGAAACCGTCTGAGACAAATACAAAGATCAGTTGTGACCACCTCTGCCCTGTGTCCCGGCTTTGATTGTGCTTATGTAGTCTGACAGGGGAAAAGATTGCATTTAATGTCACGTTGTACTCTCATGAATACCAAATCAAGCAGAGTTCAGGAGAGAGAAGACAAACACGATATTAGTTTGTGTTCTTAAGGGTCATGTTTAGTCTGACATGGATAACCTTGCTTTGAAGGTCACATACCCTGCAGTCTTTTAGCCAAGGAGCGTGTGCAGAGGATGTTAGCTAGTTTGCTCTGGCCGTAAGCCCTCCGTGGAGAGTAACCCTTCTCACTGTTTATGTCATCCAGATGGATGCTGCCCCACGTATGGGCCACAGAAGCCACGTTGATGATCCTGGAGGGGGCTGATTTCTTTAAGAGGTCAAGCAGAAGGTAGGTGAGCAGAAAATGACCTGTTGGTGGATTGGAGAAGATAAAAATAGTCAGGGGGTGTTTGTCCTTTCATTGTCTCTTATGTCCTGTTGATGCCCCTGTGCCTTGTCTGTTACTCAATAAATGCATGGAAGTGGATGTATGTGGAAAGGATGTATACTATACGTGAGTGTTTAGGTTCCAACAGGAAGTCAAATCCTGCTGATAAAATGATTAAACAGCATGCGCTGTCTATTTAGAGGGTCACTAGTCTGAGACCTCCTGTGTGAAACAAGGTTGCCTTATACATAGGATTAGTTTATAAACAAACACAATTTGTGCTTAATTTGTCACTTTTTTGGATCAAACTACTTTACTGGTTTACTGGCCAGACCAGGTATTGATTAGATACAGGAAATCTAATTTTACTGAGAGTCTTAATTCTTCTTGGGTCATAATTAGTGTTTAAAACAAAATGCTGATAAACTAGTTAATAATAACTTGAAATAGTTTTTTTATTTGTAAAATTGCCTCGGTTTTGGATGTTAAAATAGAAATAGACATTTGGATGCAGTATGTGCAGATATGCACACTTACACTACCTTTCAAGATTTTAGAGTCAGTCATTTTTTAATTAAATAAATTAATACTTTTATTCAGCATGGATTCATTAAATTGATCAAAATTAATAGTTAAGACAATTAAAGGTGTTCATTAAAGAATCCTGAAAAAAAATCTATCACACAGTTTCCACAAAAATATTAAACAGCAGTTGCATGGTATATATACATATACATACATATACATACATATATACAGTGGGTACGGAAAGTATTCAGACCCCCTTAAATTTCAAATATTTTGCAACTGTAATTCAACATTGATTATAATAAGAAATATTTCTTGACACTAAGACTGGAGTAATGGCTGCTGAAAATTCGGCTTTGTCATTTCAGGAATAAATTACATTTTTAAATATATTCAATTAGCAAACATTTACTTTAAATTGTAATAATATTTCACAATATTACTGTTTTTACTGTATTTTTAAATCAAATAAATGCAGCCTTGGTAAGACTTCTTTCAAAAACACCCAAAAAATATTACTAATGCAATTATAGTTCATGGTCATGGTCAAACTCCCTGAAATACATCTTTATTTGACCCTCTAACTCTAGCACTTTCTATTCTATTTTAATTCTACTTGATCTATTTATCTTCTTTTTTTATTTAAAAAAAAAACACTAGCTTTCTATTTTTTCTATTCTATCTACTTGTTTTTTCTTTGTGTGTGTGAGTGTGTATATGTGTGAGTGTATATATGTGTGTGTATAATATATATGTCAGGGTTCTGGACTGTCTGTGTGTGTTTTGCTCCCCGTGACCCAGTTTCTCCTCGTGTTAATTGCGTTCATTTGATTTTGATTCCATGCACCTGTGTTCCCCTGATTGCCCTGTGTTTATTAGCCCCAGTCTGTGTAGTCGTCCTTTGTCGGTTCTACTCGTTGGATGTTGTGTAATTCCCCTGTGTTTATTGGATTAAAGATTGTTTATGTACTCCACGTCTCATTGTTCCTCGTTCCGCGCTCCTCCCAGCACAGATCGTGACTATATATATATATATATATATATATATATATATATACACACACATACATACCTTGCTACACTGCGTTAGGCTAACCGAGACTTGTTATTTGCACATATATTGTTGCTCTTTTGTTAGTTTTGACTGCTTTTATTGTCCTCATTTGTAAGTCGCTTTGGATAAAAGCGTCTGCTAAATGACTAAATGTAAATGTAAATAGTGTATGCATGTAAACACATTCTTTTATATTGTAAAATATAAAGTAACATTACCTAAATGGTTAACACCAAACTGCATCTCAAAGCCATCTGCAGTTTTTGAATATGGGCACATCATGATTCCAGCATTGTTGATAAGGATGTTGACTTGCTTTTCCTCTAAAACACAAAAAGAAAAATGTATAAAGGCCCATTAATAAATTTATATTATATAATATTCTACTAATACTAGTATTTCAAAATTGTATAGATATAGTATGTGTTTAAATCAAATAATCAAAACATACCCTTGTTTAAGAGTTCTGCAAAAGCTCTGATGGATTTGGTATCTGATAAATCAAGTTTGTTCGCCACAATGTTTTGGTTTCCAGAATCCTCTATTAATTCTTTTCTGGCTGCTTCTGCTTTTTCCAGATCTCGACAGGCCATAATGACTCGAGCCCCTGAGGACATCATCACATAGAGAAGCTGATATTGATGTGCAAACAGTCATGGAAGATTTCACACGAGACAGAGCAGATATCCATCATGGATCTGAAATAACTGTGTTTACATTCTCCAGCAAATGTCCTTGCTCTGAAATGTCCTTGCATAATAATTAATTTGGTGCTAAACTAGGATGTAAGGCTGATGAGCTAACACAATAGCTGTTTGCCTGGTAATTACTGTGCAGAACGTCTATTATACTATTCAGAGCAATTTGGCTGGCAAGCGTCAGAGTTTCTTTGTTGGAATTCAGCGGGTCCATGTGGGAAAGTGTACAGTTTTACATCTCTTTGGCAGATAGTATTGTAATCCTGTCGTTTATTTATCAGCATGCATTCAAAGCTTCCAAGACCCTGTCGGTCTTATAAGATGAATTATTTGTTGTTTTGATTGCATAACATTTGACATTGGGACAATGGGTATGATTTACCCTTGCATTTATTATTTTCATCCCAGATTATGATGATTTTATGCCATATTAAAAAGAACAAACTACAATAAATATGCATCCCAGATAAAGCTATCAGCTGCAACAATAGTGCCAATATGATGTGATAGACTGCGCTAACCTCTCTATACCCTCTTCTAATTAGAGTGGCATCACACATGGCATGGTTTTTTCCCGTAACAGGTTGGCAGTTGCTGCTATTCACAGCATGTGCAGTAAACGGAACAAATCAGATCATTCAGAGTGTTTTTTTTCTTTTAAGGTCAAGACCGTGTTGAGACGTAACATGTCCTGAGAACTTACCTCTTTTTGCAAGGTCTCTCGCTGTCTCTTTGCCAATGCCTGTATTAGCTCCTGTGATTATGACTGTTTTGTCATCAAGACGTACAGAAGAGCTCCACTGACCACAGAAGACATTTCTGGAATTGATTACAGAGCAAGGTAACACTTTAGAATAATGGCCCGTTGTTAACAAGTAACTATGCAGGAAGTAATAGGTAGTACTACATTAACACTTAACTTAATACTATTAACTAATAGAGAAGCAAGATTAACTAAGCAGTAAGTAGTAGCAAATTTCAGAGCAAATGTTTATACAATGTAATGAACACATTTTTGGTGGATTGTGAAGTAGTACAGGAGAGCGGGGCTAGTTGTCACACATGGAAGCTCGTTTCTGACACGAGCCTTTTGCTCGCATTTCAGAATTTATAGCTTTTTCCTTTTTTCCTCAGAATTGTGTTAACTCAAGATTTTTTTCTTGCAATTCCGAGTTTTCATCTCACAATTCTACGGAGCCCCTAAAGGGACATGGTGGCGGAAAAAAATCTGATTGAGTGAAAAAATTTGGGGTGGGAGGAAAAAATATTTGTCAGATATTTGCCGTTCACTCGCAAAACTTTTGCGTTCTCTTGCAAAGATATTTTGCGTTCCCTTTGCGAGAGAACGCAAAAGTTTTGCGAGGGAACGCAAAATATCTTTGCGAGAGAACGCAAAAGTTTTGCGAGGGAACGCAAAATATCTTTGCGAGAGAACGCAAAAGGGAACGCAAATATCTTTTGCGAGCGAGAGAACGCAAAAAAAAAAATTCCTCCCACCCCGAATTTTTTTCCACCACCATGTCCCTTTAGGGGCTCCGTACAATTCGGAGTTGTTGCGGGTTTTTTTTTTTTCCCCAACATTTTTTTTATCCAACTCTTTCTTGCAAAGCATTATAAGTATTATAAATGTACAATATATGCTCAAAAACACTGCCCCAAAATCTCGCCCAAACCCTTCATTAAAAGTTTCCATTTCTCCGTAAACTGACTCATTTGGAGTTTTAAACTGTATATTAATCTTTTCCATCACGTAAATGTCCCTCACTGTCCGTGACCATTCCTCAAGCTTTAAAGCAACAGTATGTGCATTTTTTTAAACCTTGAAATAGGCCTATCACTTTCAAAATCATTCTGTTGGTACCCTGACTTCTAATAAGGTGAATGGCTTCTCTTTCCCACGCTCTCCTCCCCAAACATGTGTTCTGAATATGTAAGTTTGGTGAGCGGTAAAAGGGTGTATTGCGTTACTGCAGCTACAAACGCAATAGTACAGCTATACATTGTAATTATGTCAATGAATTTTTTTAAAGATGCACAATGTACAGTTGATTTACATACAGTCTACAAAAAGTACTGTGCATTTTCATTGTTATTGCTCAGGAATGAAGATGCAATTAAGTCAACCCAATTGTGAGGCACATTGTCACACTATTTTATTGTAAGTTTCTCAAATTAGACTGCTAGTTAAAAGCTTTTATTATTAATTCACGAAACAGCATAAATATAAAAAGTACGATTCAAACACACCACATTGTTGTGACCAATAAGTAATGCAGCCTACTTAATAAATTGTATAGGCTACATCTAAAATTTTATTCAGTTTAAGAGGGTTTTGGAAGTTGTTTAACCAACATACAAACTCACTGTCAAAACACATTTATGTAATTACTCAAAACCTGAGATACAGCCCTTATGACTACTTCCCCATGTGACAATTAGCCCCATTCTCCCATATTTAATTATTAGATCAGCCTGTATTATCCAAAATTTGATAGTATATGTATAGTAGAGAGTGAGCATTTTAGCATATTTTCAAAACAATATGAAAAAAATATGAAGACTTTGATAAAGAAAAGAAAAGAAAAGAAACGAAAAAGTTGTGTTAATTGCAGTAGACTCATTCATGACACCAGCATTGCTTACCTTATTGAGTGCATTGTGGCCGGTTTCCCTCAGCAGACAATAGTGCTCTACTCTAGCGTCCTGTGTAATTTATGAATGAGATATTACTATGCGATCCGGATCCAAGCCCCTCCCGTCCAGAGCTCTGTCTTCCGGCCAATGAAACGCGTCTGACTTCAATATGAACAACGTGATGCGCTCGCATGAATGTGCTCGCTGTGATGGCTTTGAACTCCAAGGAAGGAAGCTTTGTTCAATTGAATCTCTTTTGCAAGGTTGGACATTCCGTTACACGTCACCAGAACACACAATACAATCACGTCACCCCACTTAAAAACAAGCCAAATTGTGCAAAAGCAGTGACCGCGCGTGTCCACTAGATGTCCTCGTTGCGTCAGTCTGATGTTTCTCTACGAACACAATAAACACTAATAGTCTTACTCAAGAGATGTAATATCGTTTAAATTTAGATACTTTATTAAGAGACTGTAAATCGTTCAGTGAACGATCACAATTTAACCACTTTTTTCTATCTGTCTACTCTTTTGTGCACCTACACTGTCTAATTACACTACTTCCTTACTAACCCTTACGAAAATTAACCATGTTTTAACTACAAAAAAACAAGGTTACTAGAGCTAAACCATGCTAACCACAAATTAACCATGGTAGTTTAACCATGGTGTTTGTAGTAAAACTGTGGTTAAATGTTAATCAATGCGCCAGCATGGTTACTACTTTTACTACAATAAAAACATGGTTAATTTTCGTAAAGGAATGGTACACTAGTACAATACCCTTCACTCCATTCCCAGACGTTTCTGCCTCATTAACACGACTGTATTTTACTGTATTATTAAGCTTTCATATTTACTTCTGCCAGTGTTTAGTAGGCTAGTCTTGTTAAATGCTTAGCTCTGCTGACCTTATTTCGTTTTCAAATGACAATAAACTCATTTTGACCTTTTTCCCCAAGGAAATAGATTATGCAGAAGTTACACAGTATGTTCCAGAAATCACAGTAGGATAACCTTCAAAGTATCTCTGAGTCAATACAAACAGCAAGAATATAATTTTGAAAAGTCATAAAATCTCATTTCCAGCGAATTCCCAGCAGGTGGCAGCTGACAGCCCACAGTCTGCTAGCAGTGTTGTCGTCATTAGCGGCCCTGGAGCATGGAGCCATGGCACAGTTACTGTGAGAAATCATGAGAGGAAATATTTATTAAGCATTCCAGCAGTTAATTTGCTTGCTGTCAAATTTAGCATCACTAGTGCAAAATAAAAAACATGTGAACAATGCTGCTTATAGGAACGATGGCCACTATTATTTCATGAGCACGACTAGCATCAGCCATAGTAGTTAGTAGTAACCTGTAGTAGGCTCCAGTGGGCAGGTCAGGGGTGAGGGCACAGTACAGGGTGGTATATGCGCCCTCCTCAGGGGGTTTTATCAGGAAACCAAATGTCTTCACAAAGAACTGCAGAGACTTATTCAAATGCCTAATGATGTCTGTCTTCACTAGGCCTGGATCCACAGCATAAACACTCACTCCCATCTCTGCCACAGAAAGACAGTTAGAGAAATCAAACGCTAACCTTGCTTTATTTTCAAAAGAATGCACTTATTGCCTTAATGAAGAATGTTTGTGGCTAAAACATGTGACATTCAAGTTAGGATATCATACTGATGCAATGCATTATATGGAAGGTTTGAAACATGATAGTTCACCCAAAAATGAAAATGTAGTCACCATTTAGCTATTTATTCACACTTGTGTGGTTTTTCATACACTGAAAATGAATGAGAGCCATTGTCAGCTTGGACGCTAGTTGTTTTTTTTCACAGATTAAACACTGAAGTTTGCTAAATCGTCATACATACATCCCAGAATCAGATTTTTGGATCACATTTTGAATGTTTTATGCCTTGCTCTTACCTTCCGCTCTCGGGGCGAGCTCTCGCGTGAAAAGTATGTTGGCCAGTTTGCTCTGTACGTAGGCCTTCACGGGATGATAGCTTTTCTCACTGTTCAGGTCCTCAAAGTGGATCTTTCCCATGTGGTGGGCCAATGAGACATTAATCACTCTGGAAGGAGCTGAATGCTTCAACAGATCCATAAGGAGGAACGTAAGAAAGAAATGTCCTGAAGAAGAAAAGGAGTCATTCATCACATGTCAAGTGTGAACAATCTCCATTGCTTCTAAACAACAAATAATGACTCTTTATAGTCTTTGAAAGAATGAGAACCACTAGTGCACTTCATCAAACCTAAATGATTGACTCCGAACTGTGTCTCAAAACCGTCTGCTGTTGTTGAATATGGGCACATTGCCACGCCAGCATTGTTAATCAGCAAATGAAGAGACTTTTCAGCTAAAATAAAATCAATCATTTTAAGATCAGATCAGAATTGAATGTGTGATGTATATAGAAAAATGTTCTTCATCCATAACTCACTGTTGTAAATCAGTTCAGCAAAATCACAGATGGATCTGGTGTCTGCCAGGTCCAGTTTCCGAACCACCACGTTTGCATTCTCCACATCTCTGCTTATGTCACCAGCCGCCTGTTCGGCCTTCAGCAGGTCTCTGCAGGCCAGGATCACTCGTGCACCTTGGGATTATTGACAAGTTTTGTTCCATTAGTTGAAAAACTGGTACATTCTTCTGAGCAATTTCAGGAAAACCTTATTCTGGTTTGGATAGGTCTATCAGTCAGATCTAATATATTTCATCTGTTTTCATCTGTGGCTCTATGAAAAGAAGGCTCGATGTGTTATTTCCACAGTCAGTGTCGATTTGGCCGCAGTACCCCACCCCGCATTGCCAGATCCTTGACTGTTTCTTTCCCAATCCCGGTGTTTGCTCCAGTCACTATAGCAGTTTTTCCATCTAAACGAATATCAGATGACCAGCTTTTGGTGAAAAGCCCTCTGAAAAGAGTTTATTTATTAAATTTTTAATAGCAAGGTGTGTGATAAAAAAGAAAACAGAAAAAAAAAATTCTATAAATTTTAATAGCATCATTTCTGACATAAAGAATTGACTGCACTATGCATATTAAAATAGAACATGTTATTACATGTTAATTTTCATGTTATATGTATAGTTTTAATAATGTCTTTAATACTACAACTACTTCTACTACTACTACTAATAATAATAATATATGATAAATTATGGTGGAAAGATCTCCAAAAAGTTTGTATGTATGTATTTAACATTTTAATAGCATAATTTCTGTCAAAAAAGATTCAAACAGTGCTGAAATGATACTTTTGAAAGACAGACTTCAGATTATCATCATATACACTATGCAAATAGACAATAAAAGATGTTAATTTGTTAACTGTAATGTTATATGAATAATTTTAATAATTTCTTTACTACTACTACCTACTACCAATAATAATAAATGACATAGTTAATAACAAGATACTGAGGAAATGAAAAGCACCTTACCTTAAGACATTAATTTTCCCAACAGTCTTATTACATGTCAACCAGCAAGAAGGGTCTTCTCCAAAGCTACTCATGATACTGAGTGTCATAATAAATGCTCAAATGTCATTTGTACTTGAATAAGGAGGACAGAAAATCCCCTTTCCTTTCCTGAGGTCAGAACAAATTGATCGTATTTTGCATGCAAAATTTTCTTTATATTCTGCATGTATCTGAAAGGCCATGCTGCTAAATAAAGCTGTGTATGTGACCTGCTGGTTACACTCACTGAAGATATTCCAGGAAACTCTTGTGCTAAATGATCCCCACCGGCAAAATGATTCACTTGATTTTGAAGGATTTTCCTTCCTATAACACTAAATCAATAGCCGTATTTTTGTCAAAGACACTGCTGTTTTATTTCACATAAACATCCTTAGGCAACCACAGTTGATTTGAGTGAACCTTAAAATGGCCAAAAACTACACACCGATGCCAGTGAGTGCTGTTCGATCTTAAATGGTGGGAAACTCGGTTCAGTTTTTCATCTTCAAAAATCAGGTAATTTCCAGCCAAGCCAGAGGAGCACCTGTGTCCAAACCTGGGGTTCTCCCGTCACCCGATAGCTCATGATCTGTTTGGACAGGACTGAGTCTGTGACATGTTAGGATCACTGATACCTCAACAGTGACCAAGGGAATATGGAATGATCCATCGCTGTTTTTCAGTGGTCTTCCCCCAGATTCCCAATTCTCTAGATAAGAACGGTCATATTCAATTAGTCAATGTGGAATCAGTGGATGCTTAATGAATGAAAATATATTGATCTTTAAAATTTTGGGTCAATAAGTTTTTGTTCATTCTTATATTTAAGGATTCATTAAATGTATTAAAAGTGACAATAAAGACATTTAGAATGTTACAATAGATTTCAGCTGCCTGGTATATATTCAAATATTATTAAATAAATGCTGCTCTTTTGACCTTTGTAAGAAACCTGAAAAAATGTATCACGGTTTATAATATATATATACTGTATATATACATTGAGAATAAAAAATATTTCTTGAGCACCAAATCAGGATATTACAATGATTTCTGAAGGATCAAGTTAAAAAAAATAATTAATAAAATAAATTAATTAATTTAAAAATCTGACCGACCCCAAACTTTTAATTTTTAAAGTTAAATTTTAAAACTTTTTAAAGTTAATTTTAGTTGTAATTTTAATGAAGTTATTTTTTATTTATTTATTAAACATCATATCATAATGTCTGACATAAATAAATAAATATGTGGGTGTAAAAATATGTAATAATATTATTATAATAAATGATCAATATAAATGATAAATGATACATATTTTTGATGAAACTCCTCTGAAAAGAGTTTGTTTGGTTAACATTTTTAATAGCATCATTTCTGACAAATAATTAAATCATATATTAAAAAGAAAGAGTTCATTTTAATGTTATATATCATGTATAGTTTATAGTTTATATATAGTTAGAATACTACTGCTACTATTAATAATAACTTAAAATAGAAACATTATTATTTGTGAAAAGTCTTCTGAAAAGTGTTTGATTGTTTGTTTAACATTTTTAATTGCATAATTTCTGATAAAAATGAGTTAAACAGTGCTGAAATAATAGACAGACTTTGAATAGTAATATATGAAGAATATCACAAATAAAGAATGAAATATCTTAATAAACAAATACATGTTTCTAACCATCCATACATATACTGATGCCTAAATTAACTATTTAATTTACATGTATATTTAATTCACATGTATTTACATATGTATCTTTCTAGATATATTCATTATGAACGGTACAACTTACAAATGAATTATAAAACCTGCAAACTGTATAGACAAACTAATTTGAATTGAACATTAATAATGGGTAGAAAAATATTTTTCAAATAATATTTATAACATTGCAATGGCAAATAAATTAATTTTGAAAGCAACATTTTGTCTTTAAAATGTCAGGCTTACTATTTTTTCTATAAATAGATATGCCTTTATATTTAATCTAATCATCATTTTGGCAAAAGTTTAATAACCCTTACTCTTCTTACAGAAGCGTTCCACTAGATGGCGCGACACTTCAACAGTCATTGCTAGTCACGAGTTACCAAATGTGCCTGAGGCTCTCTGAGCAGAACCACATTAAAACCAGTCAGAACTTCCTGTTTTGGCAGACAGAACTCGACAACACTTATCCAGTGTTCGTTTCTGTTGCCATCCCAGACTCATGATTATTCCAATCACAGCTAAACATCCAGCAGCCTTCGGTGGAATTCTCACCTCACGCGGCTCCTGAGTATATGTTTGCATTGAGCTCGCGACAGCTGCTAGCCATTCACCGCTATTTATAAAGGCTTTATGTCAACATTGGTTTTGCTCGAATACAGAGGTTTTGCCGCACATGTGCTTAGTGATGCACAATCAATAAACACTGCTTATCACTAAACCAAATACCTTTCTCATACCATCACTCTCATTTAAGGGAAAGCAATTGTTTCATACAAACAAGCTTTATTTACAGTAAGTTAATGGGTGGAGAAAATCACTACTCGTGTATCAGAACATCGATTTTCAATCACTATTTATATAATAATGTTCGTGATTACGCTCTGCTCCAGTCAGACTGACTTGTCGGGTTAGCGGCACAAAACCAGCACGATAAATAACCAAAAAATGATTAACATTTACAAATTATGTTTTAAAAAAAATATTTAACACCACAAATCAACATCCCCATTTCTCATTTCCATGTTACTAACTTTTCACCATCATCCAAAAACGGTTCTCGACATGAGGTACGATGTGCTTGCAAAGGGACAACGAAAAACATGGTGCTTTTGTTGTGGTGGATGTGTTTGTGCTTTATCTGGCTGTTTTCATCGTCTTTGGCCTGAGTTTGGCTTCTTGTCGCACCAAGCCGCTCTTTATTTGGCTCCTCAACATAGAGATTCTCTGAAAATGAGACATTCTGGGGTCAATGTTCTTGACTTTTACTGTCATCCGATCTATTAGAGTGAGATCCTGTCAAAGCTGACTGACAAAAATCAACAAGATGTACCTAATTTATATGATATAAATACATAGGTCAACAAATGCATAGCATTTTTCATGAAATAGCACTCTAGTTGCTATACAGGCTGTTGTACGCCCATTATTAATCAATAGTTATCATTTAAAAAGGAGGCAAAGTCAATTCCAGTCTAGTAGGAAATGTTTGCAGCTTTTTATTTCTGCCAGGACCAGTCGTTGGTCATTTCCTGCACGGGCAAGTGTTTTTCTAGGTGTCCGTTCCTGCTCTTGGCCTGCGGTGTTGTGGTTATGTTAGATTTGGGCTTGCTTTGAAAACTGTCATCGTTGGATTCTTCCTGAACCGGGCAGCTGAAGGGTTCGTCTGTTCCTCCGCTGCTTCCCAGTGACGTTTGACTGACGTACACCACGATGACCTCACCGCTGAAGTTCATCACCTGCCCGCTGGAGATAAAAGTAGTGTTGTTGTTTCCTGTCACCTGACCTGCCAAAAATAGACAACGCATCAGAACCAGTGTTAGAGGAAAGTGGCATATTTCCATGAACTAAATATTCATTCCTTTCCTGGAGACAAATTAACACCAGTGTTATTTTAGTATCATTTATTTATATATTTACTATTTTTTTAAAGTACTTTTTTTTTGTAATTTTGTTGTGTTTTTGTCATTTTTATTAGTTTTTGTTTTCTTTTAACGTCTATACAGTTTGTATTATTGTATTATTTGTATTTTATTTTTTTTTTTTTATATTTTGTTTTGTGTTTTATTTTAGCTTTTGTTCCCTTTTATTTTTTTATTAAGTTTTATTTTTTAAGTTATTTTAGTCATTTTTATATTTTCCGTCTTCATTTTTAATTTATGTAAAGTTTTGCGAATTTTATTGTGTTTTTGTAATTTTTATTAGCTTTTATTTTTTTAGTATGTAATTATTTTAGTATTTTTTATATTTTCTGTATTCATTTAAATTTGAACGTTTTAGCAATTTTGTTTTGTTTTTGTCATTTTCATTGGATTTTGTTTTTTAATATGTCTATATCGTTTTCATTAAGTTTTACTTTTTAGTTATTTTAGTAATATTTTCTGTTTTCATTTTCATTTTAGTTATAGTAATTTTGTTTTGTGTTTTTGACATTTTTATATGTTTTTGTTTTTTTAATGTCTATACAGTTTGTATTAGGTTTTACTTTTTATTTTAAATCTTTAATATTTTGTTTTGTATTGTAGTACTTCAACTGTAACTTAACAAAAATGAGCAACATTTTAGCAACTAGCTGAAAGAAAATAAAATATAAAGTAAACTTATTTATGTGTGTGTGTGTGTGTGTATATTAGTGCTGTCAAACGATTAATCGCGATTAATTGCATCCAAAATAAAAGTTTTTGTTTACATTATGTATGTATACCGTGTATATTTATCATGTATATATAAATACACACACATGCATATATATATTTAAGAAAAATATGTTACATTTATATATATTTATATAAAAATAAATACATGTAAATATTTTCAAAATATATGCTGTATGTGTGTCTTTATATATACATAATAAATATACACGGTACACACATACAGTATATTATGTAAACAAAAACTTTTATTTTGGATGCAATTAATTGCGATTAATCGTTTGACAGCACTAATATACACACACACACACACACATAAATAAGTTTACTTTATATTTTATTTTCTTTCAGCTAGTTGCTAAAATGTTGCTCATTTTTGTTAAGTTACAGTTGAAGTACTACAATACAAAACAAAATATTAAAGATTTAAAATAAAAAGTAAAACCAATGTAATATTATATGGTTTTAGCCTTAGCTAATAACAACCCTGGAAGACTAACACTAACATTTTAAGGCTGAACATTATGCATATTAATGCAACCAGATGTGTATTTTCCATTCGTACAAGGCAAACTTCTTTGTAGTCTTGCTGAAACACGTGAATACACTACGCTACTACTTTAGATGTTAGTGGTTCACATAAATAGTCTACATTACAAACTGGAAGCTAATAATT